TTAGCTACAAAGTTCTCCTTTAGCTGCATACTTCTCCTTTAGCTGCAAAGTTCTCCTTTAGCTGCAAAGTTCTCCTTTAGCTACGAAGTTCTCCTTTAGCTACGAAGTTCTCCTTTAGCTGCAAAGTTCTCCTTTAGCTGCAAAGTTTTCCTTTAGCTACGAAGTTCTCCTTTAGCTACAAAGTTAGCTGCATATCTGCTGAGTTAGCTGCTCTCCTTTAGCTGTGAAGTTCTCCTTTAGCTGCAAACTTCTCCTAATATGAATCGACTACTTTTATTCCTTAGGCCCAGAGATTAGGAGTTAATTTTGTTTGTTTTCTTCTTTGTCTGCTGTGAGTAATTTTCTCTGTTCTTTGTTTGTTTGTTTGTTTGTTTACTTTGATTAATAGTTTAGTTTTTGGTTCTTTCTGGTTTGCTCTCTCGTCTCCTCTTGTGTCTCCTCTTCACATAAATCCTATTCCCAATTAAAACAACTGGTTTCTGCTACATTCTCATTTCTGTCTTTTGCATGTGTGCGTGCATGTGTGCGTGCATGTGTCTGCTACATTAATTCCACTCGTGCGCTCTCGGCCTCCTCCGTGTTTTGGTTCTGTCTCCGTCATTTTTCGCTGCATCTGTCTCTTGTTCTCTGCAGAGACGTTTTAACCAGGCGCCGCTGTTCGATGTAAGAAACTGCAGATCTGCGTGTAATTCTTTCCGTGGGCTCTAGAACAGACAAACTCTCGCAGCCGTTTGTCATTTGTCAGGACGTACGGAGAGTCATGGTGCTTCGAGAGGCGAGCGGTCAATCAGCATCTGTGCACACCCGACTCGTCTGGACACGTCATCACCTGCGTGCTTTCCTCTTTTAATTCATGACCAAATATCCTGTTTATGATTTTATATTTAATGTCCACCTGTAAAATCTGGATATGAACACAAACATTGTTTAACTCGGAGTATTAAATTAAATAAATTGGTTTTTGTGAGGACTTTTCATGTTACTATTTAATCGTTTTAAAGCAATAAAGAAGGAGCCCGCCTTCTGATTGTCTCGGCCCACCGTTTGACACTCGACTCACGCTGGCCGTCCTCGTCCTCGCTGGTATCTGGGCTGACCGAGGCGCTGCGGCGGTTCTTCTGACCTTTTCTTTGCGTCTCCCCGCAGGCCTGAAGCTCATCAAAAGCAACTCGACCCCTCTGAGGACGCCGGCCCTGCCCAGACCTCAGGACTCGGTGCAGCTCAAGGACATCGTGTGTTACCTGTCGCTGCTGGAGGGCGGGCGACCCGAGGACAAGCTGGAGTGTGAGTGTCGTCCTGTTTCATAAGGAAATGCACGTAAACATGCACGTTTCTGGAAGGTCTGCCCTGAGGAACCTTCTGTCAAACCTAAACCGTGAGGCACAAACAGGCAGAAGTTACTGGTTGAGCTGCAGCTCAGTGAGTGGAAACTGGTTTTAGAACGATGCTTGTAAATAAATGTGTTTATGTGCTTGAGTGTAAACTTTGAACTTTGACCGACGACACTCTTTCTGAGCCTCCTGTAAAAACTCATTGTCACAGCTGAAGGTGGAAATGGAGCGATCATGTTTTTACCCGTGTTTACATGTGTACATGAATGTTTGTGTACCATCAGCAGAATATCTCGTGAATTATCTGACACGTTTTTATGAAACTGTCAAAAAGTTACCACTGGGTTCACATCTCCAACTGATTAATACGAGTCAACATGACCGCCCAACCAAAGCAGCGTTACCCAACACAAGAGCGGCTCCAACTTAAGCTGTTTTACAGCCGCTGAGCTAAAACCTAACATGGTAGTAGCCGAGACTGGTCCCAACTTGTACTCTGAGCATTAACCGACCGTGCTGGATTTGTGTGGAAAACCTTGGAATCAACTTTGTTCATGAGCTAAACACGAACCACTGTTTGGATTTTTAATGAAACGTACCGAACTCAGTCAGTAAATGCACTTTCACAATATTAACGTAGTAACGATTTACTGAGGACCAGACTAGTCGTGAACCGTAAGAGCAACCACAAGACCAGGAACAGGTTTAACAGTGTTTATTTACAAGTGAGTGCAAGTCGTCGAACTGTGACCTCTGGAGGGAAAGGGCTGGAACCCTGAGGACAAGGGACAGTTAGAGCCAAGCGGACGTGAGAGTCCAAGGTTCACGGGTCGGACCAGTGAGGTCCCAGGTTAAACAAGTGGGGAAGGCAAGGAGGGAACGAAGGAGGGTCAAGGGTTGGAAGGAGCTCAGGAGATTCTGTGAGGCGTAGGAGCGAGGAGTTAGAATAAACAAAAGTCTAAAGATCCAACGAAGTCCAGGAACACAGAGGAACACGCAGGAACACGCAGGAACACAGAGGAACACAAGGAACCCAGAGGAACACTCAGGAACAATGAGGAACACACAGGAGCACAGAGGAACACAGAGGAACACACTGGAACACAGAGGAACACAGAGGAGCACAGAGGAACACAGAGGAGCACAGAGGAACACAGAGGAGCACAGAGGAACACAGAGGAACACACAGGAACACAGAGGAACACACAGGAACACAGAGGAACACAGAGGAACACACTGGAACACAGAGGAACACAGAGGAGCACAGAGGAACACAGAGGAGCACAGAGGAACACAGAGGAACACACAGGAACACAGAGGAACACACTGGAACACAGAGGAACACAGAGGAGCACAGAGGAACACACAGGAACACGCAGGAACACACAGGAACCCAGAGGAACACAGAGGAACACAGAGGAGCACAGAGGAACACACAGGAACCCAGAGGAACACTCAGGAACACGCAGGAACACACAGGAACCCAGAGGAACACTCAGGAACACAGAGGAACACTCAGGAACACACAGGAACACAGAGGAACACAGAGGAACACTACCATCAGGCAGACGGGGCACCAGCGTAGGAGCGGCTCATCAAAGCCTTTTATACACCTGCTGCTCATCAGGATGTGCAGGTGTGTCTCCAATGACAACATCTGGTGGAGAAAGCTGTAGGAGCAAAACCCTCGGACTCGTACAGATGTTCAGAGACATCCCAACTAAAGATGGCCGCCACGACCAACTGTCCTTAGAGAAAACACTTAAATGGTTGAAGCCCAGCTGGTGTGACAGGCGGTGGGCGTGCTACAAGCTGAGGGTCGTCTCAACCGTGTTTGAAACGTTAGCATGCAAGAAGGCTGGAGACACGTCTTTCTTTAAGAAATGATCAGACTGTAGTTTTAATGACTGTCAGATGGAATTCAGTCAAAAAGGCGGCACGGTGGTTCAGCTGGTAGAGCTGCTGCCTCTCAGCAAGAAGGTCGCCGGTTCAAATCCCAGCTAAAGGCCTTTCTGATTTGAGTTTGCATGTTCTTCTCGTACTGCGTGGGTTTTCTCCAGGTGCTCCAGTTTCCTCCCACAGACCAAAAACATGCACGTTAGACTGACTGGTAACTCTGGATTGTCCCTGTGATGGACTGGAGACATGTCCAGGTGTCCCCTCCTCTCACACAATAATGGCTGGATATGGACACCAGTGACCCCCGTGACACAAAAAGGAATGAATGAATGAATGAATGGATGGATGGATGGATGGATGGATGGATGGATGGATGGATGGATTCAGTCATAAAAACAAATTTACACACACACATAATAATTTCCTGCAGCTCGTCAGAACTTTGACTGCTCAGTTTCAGTCTCAGTTTGGCAGATTAACGGTAATCTAATTCCATACGTGCACTCAACCTGTATTCATACAGGTGAGTCTCACTGTACGTCCATCAGCCGTTCTTCAAGCTGCTCACTGTTTTACTAGAAGTTTTTATTCTGATGCTATATTTGACTTTTGATTAAATTATTGAGTAAGGCTGTGGTTAAGCAGAGAGCAAACTAAATAATTCACAGATTCTTTCTGAGTGTGTGTTTCTGAACGCCTCATGGTTAAAACCACAAGTAATCTCTGTTCTGTCCCCCCACCCCCACCACACCCACCCAACTGCTGGTTTTAGTGGGGTGGAGGCCTCCCCCTGCTGGTCTGTTGCTGACTGCTCACCTTCAACTGTTGGCTCAGTTTTTAGACAGTTTATGACATACATCATTTTATTTGTTTGATCAAAACGAGTTTCTTTTGCAGTGACTTTGTTCACTTTAACTTGTGGAACTGACCTCTTCAATTATCTGCAGAGAATAACACAATGAATTAAAAACATGTTTTTAAAATGTCGCCAAAAGCTAGAAAAACACCTAAAGTGATTTAAATTAGATGCCACTCAGAGTGAGACAGTTTATGACTTTAATTTAAACACCTGCAGCTGTTCCAAGACTCAAAACAGATTTGGACTCGTTGGTGAGTTTGTGTTCACATAGTGGTCCGCTGACACCACCAGCACCACCTGACACCACCAGCACCACCTGACACCACCGGTTCTAATAAAGCAGATGTTTTGTTCCTAGTCGAGAAGTGAAGAGTGGGAAGTGGAAATGTTCTCCATCCATCTGTGTGTGACGTGATATCTTGAACAAATGACACTGACTTCCATCTAGATTGCCATGTCAAAATCCAAGATGGCTGCCACTATAAACATATGTAAACCAGCCACCACTCTTATTTAAGGAAACTATACTTTCTAGTTTTTGTATTGCTTTAAAATAGTCTCCTCAAATGACAGGGGTGGCTGTTGGGGTGGCCGAAGATTAATTTATTGTGACTGAGGCCACCATTGGCCACCCTCTGGTTCCACCCTTGCACCTGGTGGTGGATATAATTTGTCCCTCTGCGCTGCCTCGGACAGTTCTCGTCCACAGAGTAACTCCTACACATTTGAATATCTTGCACCAAAAACATTTAGGTTTACTTCACATGTCCAGTTCCAGTCCAGAAAAACACTCGTCTCCAAAACGACAAACATTCACTGCTGGAATCCCTCAGTGACGGAGGACATCGCTGCACCGCTCGGTAACTCAACACTTTAGTGGCCTTAATTCAGCACCTTGTTATAAATAATCTAGTTAATCCCAGTTTGTGTGCTGGACCAAACCAGCCCAGCTCCAGATCCAGATCTGAGCTGTTTGTCACCAGCAGGTGTTAGTGCGTAAGTTGTGTGCACGTATTAAAGTGTAAACAATGTTCAGTCTTTTAGTTTCCTGCTTGGTCTTTGCTGAACGTGACTCCATCATAGAAGAAAAACAAAGACCAGGCGTTTAAGAGTTATGTCTGCCCCCCGATCAGTTTGTACAGCAGTCAGCACTCCTTTATTTAAACTTAATTACCTTTTTGAGGCTTCTTTGGGTCACCGCAGTCACACACCCCCCCCCCCCCCCCAACACACAGGCCTCTCCTCCCCATCCCCTAAAAAGACCAAATCTGGAAACTGCCCATTAGCTCCTCGTTGCTGCCTGATGATGTGCCAGTTTACGTCAGTGCCTGATGATGTGAGCAGCCACCCTGGGTTGTGCCCAGACTGCCCTCACAACTGGGGGGGGGGGGGGGGGGTCAGAGCACTTCTGAAATTAGACATTTGTATAAAAATGATCTGTGCCCAGATGATGTCGTCACTCTCAGATGGAGATACATCAGAACACAGCAGTGATGTGCTGCAGGACCTTTCTGTTTCCATGGTGACACTTCTGACTTGTAATAAGGGATCGCTTAAATGCTAACAGCTGTGTGTGCGTGCGTGCGTGCGTGTGTGTGTGTGATTTGTGAAGCACACAGAGACATCTACATTGAGGAGTGTTGCTGTTTTCTGCTGAGCTGATTTCAATATTCCCTCCAAAGGTTGAGACTTGTACACAACAACCCTGTGCACATCGTTTCGTTCCACCAGATGTACCACATGTGGTGGAACGACAATAAAGAATGTGTGACTCGGAGTCACTGCCAGTGGTTCATGTGTTTTGTTTTTGTCTCCACAGTCATGTTTCGTCTCTACGACACAGATGGAAACGGGTCTCTGGACAGCTCGGTACAGTTTGTTTTTCTTCTCTTTTTGTAATTTTTTTAGAAAACAAACTGCACAAAAGTGTGATGGTTGTTAACAGTTGTTTCAAATCCAAAATGAAATTCAACAAGTTTCTATATTCACAACAAAACAAAACATTTTAGGGTATTTTAGAGGGCGGCACGGTGGTGCAGTTGGTAGAGCTGTTGCCTCTCAGCGAGAAGGCCGCCAGTTCAAATCTCGGCCGGGGGCCTTTCTGGGTGGAGTTTGCATGTTCTCTCCGTGCATGTGTGGGTTTTCTCCAGGTGCTCCAGTTTCCTCCCACAGACTAAATACATGCATGTTAGACTGATGGTAACTCTGAATTGTCCCTAGGTGAGAGAGAGAATGGTTGTTTGTCTCTATGTGTCCCTGTGATGGACTGGAGACCTGTCCACG